AAAAAAAAAAAAAAAAAAAAAAAAAAAAAACACATCATAGTAAAATTAATACCTTCTCCGCTTCGCATCGAAGCTAAAATTTCCTGTCTAGTTTTCCAGTATATAAATACATTTTCTTTATATACATTTTATATAAATGATTTAATGTTATTCGTACAAGGCTTAGAATTCAAAAATATTTTAGTTATTTACTTATCATAATTCATAAAATTAAAAATAAACTTTGTCTAGCATATTTTTATGACAATTTTATGATAAAGTTTCTAAACAATCATACAGTATAAAGAAACAGATGAGAATAATAATGTAAATCAACACAACTGTATTTTTCATAAAATATGTTATTACATATAATTTTAACTTTAGTACAAATATCTTTATTTTGAATGTTGATAAATAAATTTATGTTTATCATGCTAAATTGTTTCACAATTAGTATTACTTTTAAAATTAAAACATACTTTATCTTCATTTTCTATAGCTTGGTTTTCAAAAATTAATCTTGCATATTTTCATTTGAAGTTAATACTGACAGAGTAAAAATATTTTTTAAATGACATTTAAACATTAAAAAAAAAATAAGATTTTTTGTAATATGAAAATTTAGTAATCAATTTTTAAAAATAGGATTTTCAACTACTAGAACTATTTTATTGTGAGAAACTTAAAATTATAGAACTTTTTTTATTTTCTGGAAACATAATATCAAAAAAAATATTAAATTATCAGTCTATTTTCGGCTGCGAAAAGCCACTTAAATCGATTTTTAGAAATTCAGGAGCAAAAACAATTTTTTATTAACTAACAATGGAAATAGGATTTCAATCAATTGTCTTAAGAAGTAATAGAAATATTATATTTTATTCCAAAAACACTTAATATATGCGTCAATATATGTATACAATTTGAATTCTAAAAATTTCGAGTTACGTGGTTTTTGTATAATCCAAAATATTAATTCCAACTATAATATTCAAATAATGTAATAACAGAAAATAAAAATTTATCAAATTTAACCTTTAATCTTATTCACAAAAAAATTCTAATTAAATATTTTACCTTGTATAAGAAAATCCATTAATTCTGTGACTTCGGTTGCAGTTTTCTTTTTTTCTGTTATAAAATTAATAATTACATAGAATTAAAATCACATTCTAGTTTACAATTTTTGTAAGAATTTTATATGGAATTTTGATGGTGTTTCCTAATATAACTTTGTATTTTTGCTAACACCTCTAATTTTTGAAATAATTACAAATTAGTAATTAAGTGATAATTACACAATAAAATCAACATAAAAAAAATAGTAACACAGTAGAGTCGTAGCATAGTTGAGAAAATTATAAATGATATCTGACAGTGATTCAAATCACTATCCTAAGAAGCGCTCCAATATATTTCAGTAGATAATGTTTAATTTTAAGAAATTGGTTGATCAAAAGCAAAATTAACTCCTATATTTTGTTTTACTTCGACTACCATTTGCACATAGAAAATAAGTCATCAGTACAATTTTTTTTTGAACTTCTAGTACATAAAATAAGCTTTATTTTAACATATATTTAAAAGACGCAGATTTCCCGGAATATTTTCAAAAAATAAGTTGAAAAAGTTGTACTTTTTATATAAATTTTTAAGTTTTCAAAAATTCAAATTTCTTAACTTTGAAAAGGCAAACTAATCAATGTAAGTATAAATTTATATTTAATGTAAGTTAGATTCATGTAAATTTTATGAAAATTGGTGGACTAATTATTATTGCAAACCTTTATAAATTTTTTAAAATAAACAAAAATAAATAAAATTTGAACACGAAAATAGCATGTTTTTTAAATACGGTAGCCATTTGCATAAAAAAGATAGATTGTCAGGATAATTTTTTTTTTTTTTTAATTATAGTACGTAATATAAGCTTTAATTTAACATATGATTAAGATTGCAGTATTTCCGGAACATTTTTAAAACTTAAATGAAAATTTTGAGTTTTGTAAAAAAGTGGCTATTTTGAATTCTCCTGTAAGCAGGTAAAGGGTCAGATTTTCAAAAAAATTATATCAAATAAAAATTAAATGCAAAAAGTTTTAATACAAAAAAAAAATTATTTTGATTTGTTTATTATTCAATAAATTATGAAAGTTTAAAATAACAAAATAACATTGATTTTAACTTCGATCCCAAGATATTAATTTTTCTATGATGTTTATTTTTTTTTTGTCTGTTACCACTTTTTCTCAGCTCTCTTCGAACCAATTTCTTTCAACAATACGTCAAAATATCACAAGTCGTATCTAGTCGAAGATTTTACCCTCAAAAATTGAAAAAATCCCTCGTAACCGTAAATGGGGGAAATTTCCAAAAAAATTATAAATTTAAAAATCGATAATTTCGACATTTTTTCATTTTTTTTTTTACTTAAAACTGACAGAAGTTTTTAAAAAATTACCAAATCAATATAATTTTTTTTATATATGTGTAATGTCTTTACCTGTTATTTGGTATATTTTTTTTATAAATCTGACCTTTTATCTGCCCACAGGGGGATTCAAAATGACAACTTTTTCACAAGAAATTAACTTTTTCAATTAAATTTTTAATAGTGTTCCGGAAATACTGACACTTTTATATATACCTTAAATTAAAGCTAATGTAATATACTGTATTATGGAAAAAAAAATTATAGACTTTTTTTTGTCTTCACGTTGAAAATCACTACAGTACGCTATTTTTGTATAAAAATTCTCGATATATTTTTACATTTTAGCTTCGATGCGAAGCTGAGAAGGTATTAGTTTTACTATGATGTGTTTTTTTTTTTTTTTTGTGTCTGTTACCACTTTTTCTCAGCTCTCACCGAACTGATTTCTTTCAATGATATGTCAAAAGATCACAAATCGTATCTAGTCGATGACATTACCCTTAAAAATTGAAAAAATTTCCCTCGTTCCTCGTAAATGGGGGAAATTTTTCAAGTACCGTTGTGAATAAGTATTGACAGAAACAAAAAAAAAAAAAAATAAAAACATCATGGTACAATTAATATCTTCTCAGCTTGACATCGAAGCTAAAATATATAATTTTTTTTTAATTTTACCTAAATGATTTCAAAATTTGGAACAGTCTCATCAAATTTAAGCAATTTTTATTTTTTTATAGTTTTGTTATAGCGTCATAGTTAAATTATACTAAAACTCAAAAAAATTATATTTTTTCATAATGATTTTTTTGTGTAATTATTGCTTAATTATAATTAATTATAATCTAGTTTTTCAGATAAACTAACTAGATATGATAAAAACAAATCTGAAGCTAGAATTGAAATCAGCGTCGAAATTCCTGAGAAGTTCATATAAAAATTTAAAAGTAAAAACTGTATTCATTTTTATTATTTTGTATTGTTAAAATATTTAATTCTAAAATGTTTTAATATTCTGAAATTAGACAATCAGTTGCGTCAGTTGTTCGTTGACGACATAGTGTTAATAGAGAATAAACTAATCAATGGTTAGAGGTGTGTTAATCAGCTCTTGTAGGAAAGAAATTAAGATTTCGTAGGAGTAAGATAGAGTGTACAGAGTACGAAATTGATAATGGAGAATACTAGATAGTGAAATGAGAAGATCGTTGACAATAAGCGAGAACGTGATAGAAGTGAATAGTTTTAAGTATTTAGGTTCAGTTTTGCGAAAAATTGGTTTAATTGACAAGGTTGTAAGACACAGAATTAATAACGTGTGGGTGAATGTAGAGAAGTGTCTGGTGTATTATGCGATAATGAATTCCAAAGAGTCTTAAAGGTAAGTTCTATAAGAATGTAGTTAGACCAGCTATGATGTATGGCTCAAAGTGTTAGTCGATTGACAAGAGAATACAGCAAAGAATGAGAATGCTTAGATAGATGTATGGAAAAGATTAGAGAAGGTAGGATAACAAACAAACATATAAGAGGGAGAATAGGTGTAGTGTCAATCGTGGAAAAGATGAGTGATAATCGACTGTAATCAACTAGATATATATATCTATAGGTTCTTTTTATGTGTTGATCGACTATATTGGTCAACTAAAACCTGAGTAAAAGAGATGATAGAAATAAAAAAGTAAGTTAAACAATGTATATTACTCATCATAGTAGAATTATTATCTTTTTAGTATTGAATCAAAGTAAAAAATTAAATTTTTTTTCTTATAAAAATAAAAAATAGAATATTATATCAAAGTTTAAACAATTTTTCAATACTTCTTGAATTCTGCAAAGTCCTAAAAATGACAATATATAACTCGTATATGATAATTACCTATCCTGATAAAATGTGACCGATACAATTGTCTTTCTCTTAATCTTTTATCTAAATATAAAAAAGAATAATGAGATTAAAATGAATAAATAATTAATTTGGTGATATTAGTAGTAAATTACATAGTCTCCAAACCTAATTTCTATGTCAGTGATCACTGTAATAAAAAAATCTCATCACCAATATTACTAACATCAGACTTAAGTATTGGTAAATTGTTAAATAGTAGCCGTAGTATAATTTTTTACCAATTAACTTAAATTATGGACTGGCATCAGTGAAATTAAAAACTAATAGCAAATAGAAAGATAATTTTTTTTTTTTTTTTGAGAGATTTAACCTTAAATTAAATTAAAAAATAAAAATTTAAGCATAATTACGTATGAATTTAAAATTAATTACAGCATTGTAAAACTAAGTGAATTTTATCTTCTGGAATGTTTTAATTTGATAAAGTAATAGGGTAATTTGTTTATCTTAGCAAACTTTATTACTTAGATAATATAAATTTCTAAAATATATTTTTGAGTTACTTTGAGTTTTTCATAAATAAAAAAAATCTAGTGAGTTAATTTGAGTAATTAAAGAAAAGTTAGAAATATTAATTAAAAAACATAAAGATTTGAAATGTTGAAAAAGTAATTATTTTGGTTTATAGTACCTAAAGATTTATTATTCTACAAGTCGGTAGAAATAGTTAAATTATAAATTTTTAAGAACTAGATCTATTTGAAAAAATATAGATATGGCTACCCCTTGAATGACAAATTTTGGACTTAAAAATTTTCAAGTATCTTATTAATAATTAAAAAAACGTATTACTGGTAATTTCGTTTGGTACTCGTACATCAATCATCTGAATATCTATGTTAAAATAGAAGCCTAAATTGTAAAACTTTTCTATAACAATATTTTTAATGTCATCATTGATATTTTTATTCAAATATTCGATTTTTTTTTCATTTTGTAGAATTTGAAAATTAAATCCCTCTAATTCTTGCAGTATTGAATGAGATTTATTTTGTTTAAATTTACATTCTTTAAATTTATTAAATATTTCACTTTTAATATTCTTTTTCTCTTCATCAAAAACAGATTCAATATTTGATAAGATTGTTAAATCATTCGATAGTTTATCTTGCGATGGAGGATAATGAACAATACTGTATTCAACTTTCTGTAAATGTGACAAATAATAATATAATATATAATCGTATGTTGTGTCATTTGATAAAGTTTTATATAACGCATCCAATGCAATCAATGATCCTTTCATGACTGTTGCCAATAAAGTTATTTTCTTAATTATCCCCAATAAATCTTTTGCACATTCATAGGTATTATACTTTTGACTGAAAGTTTTTTGACATATATAACAATATTTTTTGACCATAATGAATATTTTATATAAATCATTAGCGTATGCACAACCAAGTATTAAAACAGCGGCACGTATTTTTTTTTTGGTCATATTGCGATTGACAGTCTGAAAAATATCATCTAATTTATAATATACATTACGATATTGCACACCATCTATGTCAGTTAAATGTTGCCAACCATTGTATTGGCAAATGTTATTGATGATATTTGTTTTACTATGCGAATAAATATTACTATTGCAATCTGCTTCCATAAACACAACTGCATAGAGTATTAAAATGCTAATTTTAGGCAATTTCATTGAAAACAATTAAAATTGTATCCACCAAAATATATATATATATATATATATCTCAATATAAAATAATATTTTATCTTTTAGAAAAATTGCGAAGAAAAATAAGTTTAAGATTCAAATTATATAATATTGCTGTAGAAAAAAAAACTGTTCAAAGCTAACAATAAGTCTCAATATTGTATTTTTACATTTTTATTTATTTAGGTGTCATTTTCATGTTAAAAATATTCTATTGTTTCAAGGCGACTTAGTTTTAAAAATATAAATATTATTATTTAATAATTAACAATTAAAATGTTTCAACAGTTTTAAATAATTTTTTTTTCTTGGCAGTAATCCTATTTTAAAATTTTAAATCTATTGCGAATGTTAGTTTTACCATTATATATATATTTTTATAAATTCCCTAAATTTCCTTAGCATTTAACTGATTTTTGTCAAACATTTTTCAACAGATCCAGAATTCTAAATAATCGACAACAATACTCTCAAAGTTTGGAAAAATTAATTTTATTTTTATGAAATACTACACTAACAATATGTGTTAATATTTTATATTTAATACATTAAGTGTTGTAATGATACTTTTTGAGATATTAGCATTTAAATATTAAGAAAAAGTGAGCAACAGGGTAGTGTTTATTCTATCTTTGTTCTATTTTTACCAGGTTCTATTTTTTAGATAAATATTCTTCTATAACTATCACCTTTACATAAATATTTTAAAATTATAGTAACTCAAAATATAAAATATTAAAAAACTAGTTATCGATTATTGAAAATTGTATTCAGATCGTTTTCTATTTAACAGAAAAGAAATATTAAGAGGTTCCTATTTAAGTATAGAAAATTATCCCAAAAATCTACTCTTAGAAGTAGTTTTTCTTACAAAAAATTTCATATTTACTAAGGATTCATAAAAATAAAGATAAATTTTATTCTGTAAATTTTTATGAAAAAATTATTATTTAACGAAAAAATAAGGTAATGTTTTTAATTTATTAAACTGTACATAAACATTAATTTTTTTTTAGAAATACTTTAATTAGATCTTATAATATCTTATAGATATTTTGTTCTAATCATAAACCTACTCAATTATAAAAATTATTTTGAAATTTAACAGATTTGCATCGAAGCGTTTTGTAAAGTAATGTTAATCACTATCAGATTTCATCTTTACTTATCTGAACTATGCCACGTCCCTATTGTGCTGTTTTTTTATTATTTGGAATTTTTTATCCCCACTACTGAAGATTCTTTTCTTTTTTCATTTGTTTTTCTTTTCTGATATGATATTATAATAATTATATTTTATAATAATAAAAAAATTATAAAACCATAGTAGAATATTTTTTTTAACAAAACATACTTTTATAACTTAAAAAACCCAGCACATGGGGGTCGCGGCATAGTTGGATCAAGTATAATGATATTTAACAACGATTAAAATCACTATAAAAAAAAAACGCTTCGATGCAAATCTTTAGATAATGTTTAATTTTAAAAAAATTAGTGGATTATTCCAANTGTTTAATTTTAAAAAATTAGTGGATTATTCCAAAAGCTACATGATCTGCTAGTTCCTTATTAATATCCTGATTAAGATAAAGTATGTCGAATAAAAAAAGGAATAATTAAAATATATTATTTCTCATAAAAAAATTATGTTGATCCATACACTTTTCAATATGTTATAGTATTATAAAGTTAAAAATGAAAAAAATAAAATCGAGAATTTTTACATAATAATAGCATTCGGTAGCCATTTTCACCGTGAAGACAAAATAAAGTCCGAAATTTTTTTTTTGCATAATAAAGTAAATTACATTAGCTTTAATTTAAGATATATATAAAAGTGTCAGACTTTCCGGAACATTTTCAAAAGTCAAGTTGAAAAAATTAATTTTTTGTGAAAAAGTTGTCATTTTAAATCCCCGCCTGTGGGCAGGTAAAAAGTCAGATTTATAAAAAAAATATACCAAATGATAGGTAAAGACATCATGCATCTATAAAAAAAAGAATTATATTGATTTGGTTATTTTTAAAAATGTTATGGCAGTTTTTAGTAAAAAAAATTGAAAAAATTTCGAAAATTAGCGATTTTTAAATTTGTAATTTTTTTGGAGGTTTCCCCCATTTACGGGGAACGAGGGAAATTTTTTCAATTTTTGAGGGTAATGTCTTCGACTAGATACGATTCGTGATCTTTTGACGTATCATTGAAAGAAATCGGTTCTGTGAGAGCTGAGAAAAAGTGGTAACAGACACAAAAAAAAAAAAGAAATAAAAATGAACACCTCTTAGTAAAACCAATACCTTCTCAGCGTCGCATCGAAGCTAAAAATTAAATAAATCTATCAAAGTGCTTTTTCCATTAAAACAACAAAATATTATCACTAATATAATCTATATTACATATTATAACTACATATTTGAGGTTGGCTCTGTTTCAACGCTTCGACAAAATTTTACACCTGTTTTTTACTTGACACTTCATTATGGCCAAAAGAACCTGTATGGGAGCATGGTGTGTGACTGCTAAAGTTCTCGTATACTCACCCATCTGAGAACCAACAAAGTAACAACTTATAAATATTTATTACCATCGTAAATCATGTTTTATTCTAGATAGAATCTTTAAAAAAAATTTAACAAATATCTTCTTTTGGGCAATAATATTACATAAGTCTCAACTTCTTAAGTATTGAATAAAAATACGTATAATATGATATAATATGGTAACTGATTAAATCACTATGAATTATGATTTTTAAGATTTTTGGTTCTAATAAAAGATACATAATTAGGATTAAGTTGGATATTATTAATCAATGTCAAATACAGAAATAAAATTATAAATTGACCGTTATAAATTATAAATATAAAATAATCCTGATTTATGTAGAACTTATTAATATTAATTAAAACAATTTTAAAATATAATTTGATTTTGCCAGAAACAACATTAAGTATCTACAGTATTAACAATTTAAGTAATATGTATAAAACATTTTTTTATGCTCCTTAATGAATTTTTTCTCTAATCCATTCAATATATTCGGTTACTCTAGTAAATACTCCTGGATAACCTGATCCGACACATTTGAATCCAAATGAAGTAATACCAATTAAATAATATTGATTTTTAATCGATAACGTCAAAGGACCTCCGGAATCACCCTGAAATTTATAATAATCAATTCAGATTTTAATATATAGAAGTATATCAAGGTATAGGTTTATTTGGTCTCATAATTTAAACTTAAATTATAATTAATATATACAAATATATCCGGTACCGTCTAGAATAAAAGGTAAGTGTAACAATGCTGTTATTTTCTAAATTTTTATTAGTATTCAGAAAAACGTTTTTTATAAGCAACGCCTTTTTTATCACTTTTTTGTTCACAATCACTAGAAATTATTCCTTACATTAAATTAAACTTTACTATTAATACTTCATATACCTGACAAGCATTTTTTCGTTCTGTACCAGCACATAACATATTTTCACTAATTGTTGCCTTTAAGTTATTGTATGCAGTGTTACACATAGCATTATCCACGATATATAATTGAGTTTCAAATAGTTCATTGCTCGAACGTCCACCTGAATTAACAAAATATATTAAATGATTACAGTATAAGTGGAATTAAGTTCACTAAATATTTCAATTTTTATATTATATTACGAAATTCTAATGCTCCCCATCCAGCAACATATGCTAAATTTGTCGTAAAATTCATGGTTCTTATTTGGGGGTCGATTGGTAAACAAATAGGTTGAATGAATTCTAAAAATTAACGATAATAACATGCTTATTTAGTATCTAAATTATTATACAGTATTTACAATAAATTATGTTTATACTACATCTACACAAATATATCTGTGAATTTATCTGTTTTTAAAAATATACATTAAATTTGTGATCTTTTCTCAACTATTAAATATTTATTTTAGTTTCGATCCAAAACTGATAAGGTATTAATTTTACTATGATGATTATTTTTTTTTTGTCTGTTACCNGATATTAATTTTTCTATGATGTTTATTTTTTTTTTGTCTGTTACCACTTTTTCTCAGCTCTCTTCGAACCAATTTCTTTCAACAATACGTCAAAATATCACAAATCGTATCTAGTCGAAGATTTTACCCTCAAAAATTGAAAAATATCCCTCGTAACCTTATNGAAGATTTTACCCTCAAAAATTGAAAAAATCCCTCGTAACCGTAAATGGGGGAAATTTCCAAAAAAATTATAAATTTAAAAATCGATAATTTCGACATTTTTTCATTTTTTTTTTACTTAAAACTGACATAACTTTTTCAAAAATAACCAAATAAATATAAATTTTTTTATATATGTATAATGTCTTTACCTATTATTTGGTATATATTTTTTATAAATATTAACTCCTATTTTTTGTTCTACTTCGACTACCATTTGCACATAGAAAATAAGTCATCAGTACAATTTTTTTTTGAACTTCTAGTACATAAAATAAGCTTTATTTTAACATATATTTAAAAGACGCAGATTTCCCGGAATATTTTCAAAAAATAAGTTGAAAAAGTTGTACTTTTTATATAAATTTTTAAGTTTTCAAAAATTCAAATTTCTTAACTTTGAAAAGGCAAACTAATCAATGTAAGTATAAATTTATATTTAATGTAAGTTAGATTCATGTAAATTTTATGAAAATTGGTGGACTAATTATTATTGCAAACCTTTATAAATTTTTTAAAATAACCAAAAATAAATAAAATTTGAACACGAAAATAGCATGTTTTTTAAATACGGTAGCCATTTGCATAAAAAAGATAGATTGTCAGGATAATTTTTTTTTTTTTTTAATTATAGTACGTAATATAAGCTTTAATTTAACATATGATTAAGATTGCAGTATTTCCGGAACATTTTTAAAACTTAAATGAAAATTTTGAGTTTTGTAAAAAAGTGGCTATTTTGAATTCTCCTGTAAGCAGGTAAAGGGTCAGATTTTCAAAAAAATTATATCAAATAAAAATTAAATGCAAAAAGTTTTAATACAAAAAAAAAATTATTTTGATTTGTTTATTATTCAATAAATTATGAAAGTTTAAAATAACAAAATAACATTGATTTTAACTTCGATCCCAAGATATTAATTTTTCTATGATGTTTATTTTTTTTTT